ATATATATTGTAAAAAGTATTTGCTATTTACAATATAATATATGCGATGTTTGTCTAATAGCATTCGACTGTAGTTTTGATCGCTCCGAAAACAATCAAATGATGTCATAATGACGTCATAATATACTTTCTACATTCACGTTTCTCATTCTTTTTTTTCCAACGCCGAATCCTATGTCCATCTCACTTTAGGTGCGGGAAGTACACTATGACGTCATAATCTCTCTCAGAGCGATTAAGCCGCAGCCGAACATATAATTTGTCACGTTCAGTTTTTATTTATTGATTCGATATTTATTGTTTTATGCCTATCTTCAAAGTTGTAAATTTTTTTTATTTAATAAGAAACTTATTCTTAAAACTAGTAGTTGGACATATTATTTTAGTTAGTGTTATTTATAACTTACAGAAATATAAAAATTCGCACATTAAATCTATAAATATTGCGATCACATCTTATTCTTATAAGTTGTCATTATAAAGAGTTTATCTTATAAAAATATAACATTCCAAACATTCTTTATAAATCTGTGATAATTTTTTACTATCAAATTAACAATATTAATTCTTTTAACTCACTAACTTTTCAGTTTAGTTAAAGCTCCTGAGTCGCCGCGGCCATATTGGAATCGTGATGTCATAAGCGAGAAACGATACGTAAAAGTTTGCTATACTTTTCCTGCAAATAAAGAGATGTTGCAATAAAATAACACTTGAAATGGCTCTAAGACACTTGTAAAAACCGAACGCTACAACTTTTTTCTCTCCTGACAGTCAATAAATAGTCATAAAAGACATGTGAAATGAAGCCTATTCCGGCAGAAAACATACGATTTGACAGCTGTTGAAGAGATGAAAAGTATGCTTTCACATATAAAATCGAAAGATAACTTTTATAGTGTTCGGTTTTTACGAATTTGATAAGCACGAAACAAGTTAAGCACAATTAAGCACAAGATAATGTGATAAAACGTAGCGTAAACTTGTTGTTGATACTCGTTGTTGACACGTCACTTATATAAAGATGAACAAGGATAAATGAACTTTCTATTTTTCACCGCGACAGTACGTCGCTATCATCAACGCGGAGTTTTTAGCTGAATACTCAAGAACTTTAAAACGGGTGTGCAGATTAGTTTTATTTATAAATTAAATTTATGTAGTGTAATAGAAACTGTATAACTTCTTTTAACTGTAATACTAGTGACTATAATTAATGTTAAATAATTTTGAAATAATTCAATTATAAAGAAAAAATATTTGTTATCTCTTAAAATATACTGCTAAATATACTTAAAATATACTTAAAATATACTGCTAAATATACTTAAAAGATAAAACTGATATGATACTATCTATATTGGTATTTCATTTAGACAAAATGTCTTAGTCTTACTAGCTCAAACGTTTTTCATACTATGCGGTTTCATACTATGCGGTAACAAGAAGATGAAGAAAATATATCTCGCTGCTGTAGCAGGTATGTACATATTGGAATAATGTATAGATATATAAGATATATAAGCTATATAGACATAGAAAGAAATTTTTGCATCAACTTAAAGTAAATTAAATTATTTTCAGCATACAAATGTATTTTAGTTGTCACGCATTCAGTTCATTATAAGTTTTAGTTTCAGTTAACCGAACACTACAAGTTTACTGAATATTAAAGGCATTTTTTATTATGCCAATTTTAAATTAATATAACAAAAAATCACATTAGAATATTTCGCGAATAGAAACATAGCGAATAAAGAGTAAACTTTGCAATTCAGATCTATAAATCAAAAATTTATAAGGAAAAACTTTTATAAATAAAATTTTTATAAAAATTATCTGTAATAAAATTATTATTTATCTGTAATAAAATTATTGATATAAAATTTTTTTAAAAACCATTATTTTAATAGGAAATCTAGGTATGCTGTCAACCGGTCAATACATCGGTTGGGCATCGCCATCCTTGCCTTTATTGATTATGAAAGATAATGATGATCCTAAATCTTCCGTGAGTTTGACTTTGGAGGAAGCTTCTTGGGTAATATCTCTACTTACTCTTGGTGGCATCACAGGTTGTGTTTCTTGTATATTTATGGTGAATATCTTCGGCAGAAAGAAAACTATGCTATTTACCATTGTGCCTACGATAATCAGCTGGTTGCTAATAGCTTTTGCAACATCAGCATGGGTAATTTTTTTGCGTTTTTTACATTGTTTTTTGATTAGATATACATATGGAATTTGTACAAAATAATATGACAAATGTTAAAGTTGAAAATTAAATATTAAAAATATTTGGGAGATGTCAATTTACATTGAATCATAATCTCAATCCTTTTTTTTTTAAAGTTTTTTTCAAGCCTTTTAAAGCTTCCCGAAATCTATCCATATATTGCAGAAATGTATGAATTATATATCCTAGTTTTTAGTAATGCATTTATCTTGGGATATGTCATATTTTTCAATTTAAATTTCATATTCTGTTACATTATAATATACAATCAGATTTTTAGTGTCGATAATTTTTAACTGATAAGAGATAATTCCATTTCTTATCAAATAAAGTTTTGTTTGATAAGTTTATATCATTTAAATTTGATTACATTGAAATTAAAATGTTCATATGTGTCGCGAAGAATCATTATTATCGGATTATTATCTAATTACCGATAATTGCTGCTATATCTTAAAATGAGAAAGTGTATCTTCTAAGATAGATTTTGCAAATACTTTGAATTAAAGTTTAAAGATTGCGAATGCTAAGTATTAGACTATAAGTAATAATTATATTTCTTTTAGATATCTTAATTTGTAATTGTATTAATTTTTTATTTATTACTTTTATTTATTTATTAATACTTTCCAATACGTACCTAGACAATAAAAAATCCAAATTGGAGCATGACATTTTAAAGATGCCTAAAAGATAGTTTTAAGATATCTTTTGTTCTAGTTTCGGGCTTATATTGTCACATATATATAATGTACATATGTATATATATATATATATATAATTTATGCAAGGTCAGTTAATATCACAAGTCATATTAGATAGATAAGATTATAGATATAAGGATAAATAGAATGAAGTTAACTATGTTTGTAAACCAAATCCCCTTTTTGGTTGTAAACTTGTGAATAAACACTGGAATAATATCTATAAAATATTAAGATTTAGATAAAACTGATAACATCATCAACATGGAGAATAGTGGTAAATTTTTCAAGATTAATTATTACATGAATTTTCTCACCGACTTTTAAAATATATGTGTTATAACAGAGTGTGATAAATAATCAAGACATATTACATATCCTAAGATAATGATAAAAAATCAAATAGGAATGAATATAATAGGAATGAAAAAAATAATATCGAATAAAAATTTTTAAAAATTATTGATGTAATGTGAATATATTGTGTGTCGAATAATACGAGATTTGAAATATTCATAAAATTTAAACAAAATTTGTTTTTCAAATTAAATTCATAAAAGTGAATATGTATCATTTTTTAAATTAATCACATGGAATAAACAAATATGCTTATAATTGTATATATAAATTTTCTATGTTAGTTTCTGTATTATTTTTCAAAAAATAAAAAAAGGTCATGTTATCTTCTTGAATTTGGGGATAAAATTATTCAAGAGATAAGGATCACTTTGATTCATTTAATTTCTTTATCTTCTTGTCCTTTCTTTGCTTTGCAGGAGCTATATGTCTCGAGATTTGTAGGTGGATTGTCTTTAGGAATCGCTTATTCAGCCACACCTATGTATTTAGGCGAGATTTCACCGGCAGATATTCGCGGCAAATTGTCGTCCATGCTGACAGTTGCTGTGAAACTCGGCATTTTGATCGAGTTTGTGATAGGTCCATTTCTCTCAATGAGAAATCTCGCTTTCGTCTCTTTGGTGGCACCATGCCTGTTTGTGATTGCTTTCATTTGGTTACCGGAATCGCCATACTACCTGATGCGCTGTGATGCTAAGCAAAAAGCTATAAACTGTCTTGTTCAATTGAGAGGCAAAGAGGATGTTGACAAAGAAGCAGACAATATCGAGCAGTTCGTAAAAACTGATTTGGCTAACAAAGCTAATTTCCGTGAACTTATATTTGTGCCGGGAAATCGCAGGTGAGATCATATCAAACTTCGATCTGTCGTTATATCAACGATCATTCACATATTAAAATAAAAATTTCAAAATTAATTACTGTGATGCAAATAAATAAGAATATTAGGTACTGTATTAAAAAATTTTACAATTAAATACATACTTTTTTTTTTAATAAAATAATCTTAAAAGATTATTAGAAGATATTTTTATTGATTTTTAATATTAATGATTTCAAGAGTTTTAGAATTGTTATAACAACTTTTGTACAAATAAATAAGAATATTGCATATTGAATTTAAAAATATTACGAATATATACAAATTATATACAAATCTTTTTAAGTAAAATAATCATATATAATTCATTAAAAAACATTTTTATTATCTGATTTTTAGTGTTAATGAGAGATATTTCAGAGATACTATTATATATCTATATGTGTGTGTGTGTGTGTGTGTGTGTGTGTGTGTGTGTGTGTGTGTGTGTGTGTGTGTGTAGTT